TATCACCGTCTAGGTAGAACATGATTAGAGCAACTCAATACTATAGTTGAATAAAGACATAATAATACACAAATTATTATAAACTTACAAGTCATAATGCCTGAAGTGAAGATGAAAAGTGGAGCATAGTGTGCTAATTTTCCATCTTGAGTTCGACTCTTTCCGGCACGTAGAGCCGCTTCTAGAAGTTTTGGTGACAATTTCTGATTGAATCCAATAGCATCAATGATAATTGCACATGAGGCAAGAGTATCGTCAACTTGTCGAACATCATCAAATGACGACGCTACAATAGGTTCGATTTCATTTTGAACCAACGTAGCAGTATATTTCGCATTACGAATCATTCCATAGACTCGATAGCCAGCACGACGCATAGCCAAAGCTACGCCAAGGCCGATGTAACCACTGGCACCAAATACGAACACAGACGACGACATGTTTTTCGAAAGTGAATCTAGAATACAAAGCAAAATAGGTTAAACTCTCTTCCTTGATCATCATTTTCTAGTTATTAAGAAAAAAAGTGCCTATCCTATTGCAATAGCTTGTGTGTCTAGCTGATCATAACAAAAAAATGCATGATTCACACAGGGAGACCATTTTACATTTACAAACTCGAAGTAAAAGAATGAGAAATGAGCCTTTGATACTTATTCAATATTCTAAAACATCGGCAAATGTCACATTACCTTATTCAAATATTTTATTGCAAGTACTACTCATGCTCTACGGAAGCTTTTAACGTATAGAAAATCTACTGAAGTATAGTGGCAAACACAAAAATATACTACTTGTCTAGCTGAATCTATAAAAGCAAGCATTTGTTTCACTTTTTTGTACCACTATGTAAGTAATCTCATGATATTCATCGTGGAAGAAAAGAAATGACAGACCACATGAGAGTGATTTTCTAGTAAAAGAGTAAGTAGATATTTTTCAGCGACACTCTGATTGTGACATAGCTTCTTTCTCACACAACTGTTTGCCACATTGAATGCTTGTTCTATCATAATGCAGAATTTCAGTTGTTTTTATATTTCGCTTTTCTTTTTTTGTATCGTCATGATGACGAAACAGGTAGAATGGCGAAGGAAGAATAAAACAACTATTTTTTTTTCTTTTCTTTCTTATCGCTGAATCAATACAACAGCACATACTAAGCAAATATTTGATGAGGTTGACACCTGGTTTTTTTTTTGAATTATGAATAAACAATGTAGATGTATAGCGAGTTCTGTTTTCAAAAAAAAGGAAGTACACCATTGATTGCACAACACCTTTAAAAATATTTTTTGACATTTATTTAACAAATATACATCACAATGCCTGGACGAACTACATAAGGGACTCCCCCTTTCAACCGACTATTTTGCAGAAATTCTAACAGATGCTACAGGCCGTGAATGGATTAAGTTGAAATTAATACAAAACTATTAATTTAAATACTTTGTCGACTTTTTAACAGTTCTATTGTCATTATCAAAAACAGAAATATAATGAGTAACAAAAAATGTGTAAAAAACAAAGAACAAAAAAGAAATCACTCATCTATTTGTTTCACCAACCAAAAGCCTAACAAACATTTATATCATGGACCGAGCTAATGTTAGGAGCATTTATAGAACAAATTATTTCATCGTCCTGGTTAATAACTTTTTGTGTCTTGATATAAAATGTTCCTATATTTTCAATTTATTTTATCTTTTATTAGCTTGTCTAATGGGGGTGTGGGTGTAGGTGTCTTCTCTCTCACGCTCACATCCACACCCACACGCACACCCACACCCATACCCACACCCTCTTCATGACTTTTCTTCATCGATATTGAATGCAGTTCGATGAAGGTTAAGGTCATGAAGAGGTCGAAGACGTGTCATCTTGCTCTATCAAATAAAACCTTTTCCTAAAACCTTCGGATGGAAGCCAGAAACTTGATATTTCGTAGACCTTCATTCAAACAGTTTCGTTATAGTCTGTAATAGAGAATCGTTTTAACTACACAAATGATGTTTCAGATTCTTGTTAGCTATTATCATCGAGAAGAAAACTTAAGAACAGAACTGTTCTAAACTTTTGTCCATCATTATACATCTACAGCTTATTAAAATCGATATTTTACGATCTACTAAATAAACAAATGTAATTTATTATTTTCTAGTAGAGTTGTATTGAATGAAAAAAATCATAATGAAGAATCTGAACAAAAACAAACACCACCTATTGAACCAGAAATAATACCTAAAAAAAACAAGTTATAATCTCATCCAATCCAGCAGCAACAGTCGAAGAAATTACTTCTGACGATACACTAACTTTTAATCCAGCCATTATACGACGATTATCATCACGAATACCACAAACAAAATACACATACAGTTGAACGAGTAAGTTTAAATTATCTTAATTGATTTAAATTGTTATTTTATTTATTTATCGGATTCCATACGAGCATTAAGAGCCAACAATCCAAATCGTATAAATAATTTAATTCATCTTTTTGACAAATAAATCTTATTTTTTATATCTTTATGTTGAAGTTAACAGTGTATGTGCTTGTGTGTTTTTCATGTTCGAAATTTTCTCTTTTTTCTTTTGTACAGAAAATAAATCTTAAATAATTTTGGTTTTTAGATATTTGAATAGATATTATAGAATGGATCTTGTAGGAAATTATAGTTAAGATATAGCTGATGCTCAATTAGCATCATTTATTGAACAAGAAAATCGAAAACAACATTTTCGATCAGTCGTACATATATTAACTGAAAGATGTTGGGATTTATGTTCACCAAATATATCATCAAGACTTGATGACAGAAGTGAAAAATGTTTGGCTGATTGTGTTGAACGTTTTCTTGATTCAAGTAATTATATTATGAATAAAATTAGTCAAGAAGGTGTTGCAGCACGTACAAGAATCAATGGAAATGAATTTAGTTCATTAACAGATTTTTCATTAGGTGCACCTGATATCGGTCTTTAAACACCAGACTTTTTTACTGATTATAATCCATCATCTTCATCAAGTCAACAAGAAAAAAAGAGTAATTGGAAATTTTGGTAGTCTAATTCTTTTTTCGTATGGGTCGTCCATAAAAGGACATACAAGTAAAGGGATGAGGGATCAAATATTTCTCGACTTACTATGAATATTTTCCTTTTTCTTTTTCACACAATTTTCGGCGAAATTTTGAAGAGCATTTTTAAATAGGAAAATCAATTGAATATGAGTATTGGTGTTGAAATAATCAAAGATTATGCTACGCTTGAGCAGATATATGAGGTTTTAGAGTGCAATTTTTGTTGAATTTCATTTTTTGTTTTTACTATTTTCTTCTCGGTAAAATCGAATGTATTTAAAAAACAAAAATTTTACAATAGATTCGATTTTGCAACTCCCCATTATAGACCTTAGCAATCGGGGCTAAAGATTTTCCATAGCAAACACAGCTACATACCAATCATTTCGGTACTACTGTCACTTATAGTTATGCACGCAAAAAAAAGAGGTTTGCATAGCGAACAACATTGCTTAAGATTTTAAGATCAAAGAGAGAAGCAAGCAAAGGAAAGCATATAGAATAAGGTACTAATATGTACACTAGTAATAGTGAGGCAATATTTTCTCCTTATTATAGCTAATACTTCAGCATTTATCTATAAGTGTTTCAATTCGTGAGATATATCCCATGTGATAACTACTGCCGATTTTTTTTTGAAAGTGTTGTATCATGGTTAGTGGCTGAGCCAGGGCGGGGCTGGGAGGGCTCAGCCCCCTCCCTCCCCCAGAAACCTTTGAGCCCCTCCCAGGAAAATTTTTAAACCATGTATTTTATTCGCCAGCCGGGGCTCAAAGGTCCTTCAGACGGGGCTGAGCTCCCCCCAGCTCAAAATCCTGGCTCCGCCACTAATCATGGTGTATTGTACCAAAACGAATGTCGCCTATGCTAGTCACAGAGCCCAAATCGGTCTCAGTGAAGAGATGTTTTTTTATCATAGATGGCGCTAGAAAAATTTTTATGAGTAAAATATATTTCGAAACTGTTTTCTTCTCCGTTAATTTAAATTTGGGTAGAAAACACTCTCAGTAATCGTATATAGCTGAAACCGAAAGTCGTAAGTGCTACCGGTAGTGGTAATGCGAACAAACTTGCGACATAGGATCATTATTGTCATTTATTACTTCATCCATTTTGACTGTTATCGTATATAGTTTTTTCTTTGTCATATCACAACAACAATAGTGTTGTTATTTAATGAAAAATAAAATGACTTTAAAAAAGAAACCATTTTTGATGTTTTGTTAGTAATATTGATAACTATCAATATTAATAAGCAAATAAATCTTTCATTGTGTAAACCTTTGATTGATTCACTTAATTTGTTTCAAAATGTAAAGTATACCTCACTACATTAAAAAAGCATTTATACTAAATTATGTGAGTTCCACATTTCAGTCCCAAACGGGCTGCGCTAACAAGCTTTTTGTTTGTTGTTTTTGAAATGTGTGTTTTCATGTCTATTTTTGATTTATCTAGTGAACTATTATTTAATAAAAGTGAAGCAGTATACTTGAGCAAGCAGGATTCTTCTGAAAGTGTTTTTTTTATACTGGACGTCCAGGAGAGAGGGCAGATGTCGATGAAACTGGACAAATCTGGGTAGCGGGAGGTCAAAAAATGCGATTTTTGCCTGAATATCCTTCATGGATGATCTCTATTGCCATTTTACCCTAGTAATGTTTAGTTTTTAATGAAATTCCTGATTTAATTTTTTTAGATCAGTAAATATTTGAACAAATGGTTGAATCAATAATTGATATTCGTGGAAAAGATTTTTTTGTTAGCTCAAGATGCTAATACAACAAAATTTCGATAGAGACAATCGATTTTCTAATGTAAAAGATTGTTATTTTTTTTTCTTCTCTATAAGCTGGTGAACCTTGTGATGTAGTTCAATTTACCGAATATGTTCGTAAAAATATTCAATTATATAAAATGATCAATGGCATTGAATTATCTCCATATGCATGTGCAAATTTTACACAAAATGAAATGGCAACATCACTTCGTTCACTTAATTCATTTTTAGCTAATCTTATTGTTGGTGGTTATTCAACAAATCAATGTAATCAACAACATGCACAACTTTATTCAATTGATTATTTAGATGCCATGATATCAGCTAACAAATTATTACAAATTATTGTTAATGAACTTGGTAAACATATAGCTACATATCTACATTGTATATTTGTACGAATTATTGGTGAACAAGGTATGCATGTACTTGATAATATGTATCCGGAAAATATTATTGTAAGCAAACCAAGTGAACTGGAGTTACAAACAAGTGCTGATATGATGGACATTCATGCATAGTTTTATTTTCTTTTTATATTATATGAAAAAAGAAATAACCATTAATTGTCAAACTTGTCCTTTCGTTTTTTTTAGCCAATTTTTATGATCGTCTATTTATCTTATGTTGCATTTGTATGTTTTTTTTCTTTATTGTTGTTGACGCTCTCGCAGCAATTAAACATCTATTCTACCTGCCTGACATGAAATGAAATAGAGGGTGGGTGTATCTATAAGTATGAATAGTTTTTTCAACTGTGCGCCGACATTATAAAATCACAAAGAAGTTTTTCTTTGCAATTGTTCATACAAGTCAATATAGATGCAATAATAAAATCAAATTTGGAAGTAAAATATTGAAATTTCGATATATTGAGTTTATCAAATTTGAATCGAATTTTACAACCATGTATTGGAATGGGTTTTTTGTGGAGGATAATACTCGGATCTGTCTTGTTAAACTGATGACGATAGTTCAAAAACTGATGTCAAAGAAAGAATTTGAAAAAAATATTTTTAAATATTTTTTGTTGATTTTTAGATCATGTCATCAATTGATTCTCAATTATATGAATGGTGGTTATATGAAGAAGCAGTTTTAGAACGTGATAAACATAATGTTGATGTATTTTGTCATCATAGACGTGTACAACTTATGTTACTTGATACATGGAGACATGTTACACAGTTCGATTATTTCTAAGTCTTTTTTCTTCTTCATTTTCATAAAATTTCCTTGAACTTAGAATTCCTATACAAGTCATAAATCAATTAGCTGATCGATCTATTGAATCTTATTGGGCTACAAGACCATGTAATAAAAATGCCATTAAACAAACGGATAAAAATCATCATAGTGAGTTTCTGAAAAAGAAAATTTTATTTGAATATACGTCTTTCTTTTCTAGTCTCTTTTTCACATTGTCTTAATTGGCCTCAAATAAATGGTGCAAATATTCGTCAAAAAATGGTAAAATATAGTTTTTTTTACTTTTCTTTTATTGATTATCTTTTTATAGATGAGTGACAAAATTCGACCATTATTTAAAGGTTATGGTGATGGACGAAATCCTTTATGTGGTCAAATTAATTTACTTTCGATAAAAACACCAAAAACTTCATCATTTATTGATAATCAACCACAAACATTAAACAAAGTAAATAAGAATAAAAAGATAAAAGCATTTTCATCTTACTAAATTCTTCTCCTCAATTAGAAGCGTCCAGCTCCAGCATGTTTTTCTGATGATAAAATTGATACAAGTATTAGTCATCATTATCGACCACCATTTGGTAAACAACAACAACCACAAACTCAACAAGAACCATTATCATTTCGTACAGCACGTGATCAATTGGAAATCGATGAAGCACGTACGAAAACAAATGGTATCATTGTTAAAAAATCCCTTGGTATGCATTCAGTAGCCAAGTAAGTTCAATTAATTATATAGTCGAAAGAACTTTTTGTGGTTTTCCATAGACGTTCAATATACAATCGTTATGTTGATCCGACTGGTGGACGGCAAACACAAGGCGATTCTAATCAACAAATGATACCACCTCCACCAACACCATCGGCACCTGTTTTACAAATAAATCAATCAAATAATACTGAACCTTCAAATAATAAATTAGAAGAGAGTGGTCGTGCTAAACATATTGATCCTAAATTAATTGCAATGATTACCAGAGATGCCAACAGGCCACTTTTTTCCGGCCTGGTCTGGCCTGACCTAGCGTACAGGCCAGGCCAAAAACCAAAGAGTGGCCTGAGTCCTGACCTGGTCTGGCCTGCAGGTCAAACCAGGCCGATTGACGTTTCTGATTTTTGAAATCCATTAAATTCAATAACTCTGTACTAATCAGAGCTGCCGGCAGACCACTTTTTTGAGGCCTGGCCTGGTCTAATTCATATTGCCTGCAAACTTCGAATATGGATTTGCATATCTTATACCGATTTTTATTTAAGTGTAGTGAGGAACTTGTTGAAAAGCCTAAACAATGCTTTCAATGGTGAGTCAACAGATTTTTGTTTAGCTTAGAGGTATCTTTTTCAACATACTAAGACCTGTTGGAGTCGTCCATTTTGAAGAAAGGATACTTCTATAGTGTGTGAGTGGATGTTAATCTGTCTAGGTCTTTTTGACACCCACACACCGTCCCAGAAAGGCTTCAATTAACAAAATGCCTTCGATTGTAGCAAATCTGTTCTGCATTATTCGAAAAAATATATCCATGATAACTAAACAACATATGACGAAGCGTAGAATGAATAGGTAAAGAAAATACAGAACAAACATATCGTCAATGAGTGTTACTTATGATGGGAGGCAACGAGATTTTTATTTAAGAATCAAATTTTATGAATACACGATCACAAAATTTATTATCCATTTGTTCTGAATCTAAACAAGCTCTTCTGTGAGTGAATACAGATCCTATAACATTAAATTAATGTTCAGTACAAGTTTTGACCGCTAGAATCGCATGAATTTGTTAAATCAGTTTCGGATAATAAGACCATGCATCAATATTTGATCTTCAACATTTTGGAACTACTCAAGTAAAAGTGAATAAGTATTCTGTGATTTAACGAGAAAAGATATTACGGTTATATATCTGAAAACACGTTAAAAATTGGCTTTTAACGAAATTCCACACATTCTATCTCGACAGAAACAGTTTAGCTTGAATTAACAAATGAGATTTATTAAAAAGAACGTTTAGCACATATTAATAGTGAAAAATGTTATGCTTTCTTTTCGTTAAATCGTTAAATTTTCTTAAAATTTTTACATGGACAAGCTGATCATTTTGATCTGGTCTAGCGTGCAGGCCAACAACTTCAGCCTGGCCTGGCCTGCAGGCCAGGCCGAATATTATTTGGACGGATCAGGCCAGGCTAAAATTTCAGAATTCGGCCTGGCCTGGTGGACGACCTGAGGGCCTGCCAGGCACCTGTCAGGCAGCAGGCCAGGCCGGCAGCTCTGGTACATACTATGGTGTGAAATAAAATATATTACATAATGTTAAAAATCCATGATGACAAATTTCTATTTGTCATTTCAAGAATATATGTTATATAAGAAAACATTGATTATAGCGTCTACCATCGAGCAACCTCTTTTCGTATTTTCTCAATGGACGGAATATATCGATGTGACTATTATACAATGATCATCGCTTTGTCTCTACATATATATATATAGGCAGCGTCTAGCGAAATTAATTCTGATTCTGTTACGTTTACAATAAGAATCTTCGTTTATTTTATAAATAAATTTAGAACCGGCGATTACAATATTAATGGCTAGTGGTGATAATGCTCAAAGTTGTAATACAGAAACAGATGTGGAAATTAAACGATTACAATTACAATTACTACTAAGACAAGAAACAACACAACAAAAACGATTAGATGCAATTATTCAAAAACGAAAATTAGACCAAAAAAACAAGATGTAATTATTGAAGAACGAAAATTAGCTCAAAGACAAATCGAAAAAGATATGATCACAGGAAAAATAAAGATATTGCAGCTGGAGAAACGAAAAAGAGACGATGATGAATACAATGAAAGAATAAAGATGATGAAAAGATTAGATGAAGAATTTATATCAATATCCAGTAGTGACTTGACTTCAGCAACACATAATAATGGTTATTATGATATATATGTAAAGAAAAATTTATATCGGCTTGAAATTGAAACTTTATTAAATGATAATACAAATGTTAACGATGATATGATAAATATTTTTGAAAAGCATTTTGTTTTCAAATCACTTCGTGATATCACAGAAAAAGATTTTCAATCTATATTCGTTGCATCAATAAATGAATTATTTGCTCAATTTAATGTATATACATCATTGAAATATTTAAGCACAGATCGGATGTATTATTTAAACAAGTATACTCCCGATTGTACTTTTATATACAAAAATATTAATATTAACATGGATGATGAACATCAGGCTTTACAAGATTTTACTGTTTGTATTGGTGAATTAAAGGTAACAAAAAACGGTTCTATTGAAAATCTACAAAACATTGGACAGTTGGCGCGTTATTTGGATATGACATTAAAAGTACAAAATCGTGATAAAATCTATGGATTTTTAACAAATCTTCAATATATAACATTTTATTGTGTTGAAAAGACAGAAAATCCATGTTTTAATAAATATTATCAAAGTAATAATTATGAAATGTTTTATATGCCGCGTAAAGCATCATCATCTATTGATGGATTACAACCAAATCAAGAATCGAAAAAAATATGTTTAAATAAAGATACAATGAAACTATTAATTAAATTTTTAACAATGAATAAAAGCTTTTATGAATACACAACGTTAAATATAGATCCTAATGATAAATTATTTGATGATAACTTTTATATAAAACAAAGATTAGGAAATGGTATAACTTCAATGGCTTATTTGATAGTTCAAAATGATTTTAATCAATCACCTACTAATTCAAAAAGCTATGTAATAAAAATTTCTAAAAATGATATATATGATGTATATTTTATAAATGAAGTTGATATATTAAAACAATTAAAACAATCAGACAAGTCAAATAATTTTAATATATTTTTTGAAAATGTTTTTAACTCATCACCTACAGGTAATATTTATTTAACAAAATTCTTTTTTAAAAACTTTTTCAGTATATTGAAAATCTATTGAAAAACGAATAGAGAAAATTTTGTTTGAGTTTCGAAGAATATAGAAGAATCTAAGAAAAGAAAAGAAGAGATTTAACGAAAAACTAATATTCTAGAAATCGTAGTTTTTCAGTAGAATTTGTTTGAATGAGACACTTAACAAAAAAAAAAAAAAGATTCACTATAATAGATGAAAAATGAGAAGATTGATTTTCTCTTAAGAGAAAAACTCGAGTAAAATAATTTTTTCTCTTTTACATTATAGAAAATGAATTTGACGAAAATTATCTTGATTTTTGAATTACTTTTTTTAATGAAATTTCTTTTATATTAATTCTTTTTAGAAATTTTTCGAATTAATAACAATTAAAAAGAAAATAAAACTATGTAACTTTTGCATTGTTTCTATGTAAATAAACATAATGGTTGATATCAGAACACTGTCATTGAAATTTTAATTTAACATAACAAAATACAAAATTGTCTTTTTTTTTATAATTATATTTATATAAATTAGACGTTCAGAACTTCATTAGAGTATTAAAAAAAAACCTCAAATATTTTTGTCATTCTTCAACTAAATGAGCTGATCTTTTTTTGTAAGAGTAGAGAATAAATCTAATTTTTTATTTATGAATAAACATACCATTTATATCTAGGGATGCACCAGTGCCAGTAACTGGATACCAGTTCGACTGGGTAAAACTTCGAGTTCTAGCAAAAATACCTATGAATTCTCACTGTCATTCGATGTTAGACCCAGTCGGACTGGGTACCCACCAAGTTCGACTGGGCCTTACATCGAATGATACTTACTTTACATAGAACAAGAATCTATAAGTATTTTTGCTAGAACTCGAAGTTTTACCCAGTCCGACTGGGACTGGTTCATCCCTATTTATACCAATAAAATTAGATAATTTATGTTCCTTACATCACTAGTTTAATTTGATTAAAGTCTATTTAATATTCACAAACAGATCTATTATTGTGATTTCATGTTAAAAATTACGTCCGTTACTAAGATGAACTATTGTTTAATTATTCTTTTTTTTGAACAATGAAGAATAATTTCTTTCATATTATTATTATATTATACATTAACCATAGTACTTGATAAGTAAATAAAAGAATAATCTTACAGTTTTCAGTTATAGCTAGGAGCTATAAACATTTTTCTATTGTTTATTTATATAATGAATAAAATTTTATCTATATAAAAATTGAATTTTGCATTATGAATAAAACGTTTAATTTATCATTTACTCATAGACAATGATATAGTCGTTTTACTGAATAACAAGAAATATATTAAAATGTTTCTTTCACTAATCAATTTTATTTTGTAGATACTCTATATATATGTGGATATAGAGATAGATGAAGATTAAACTAATACATATATGAAATAAATAAAAAATGATGATTTATAAAAATTATAGTTAAAGAATAGAAGAAAATTCAAAAATAGTTCGGTTTGTATAGTATTATAAATAAAAATTAATAATTCTATAATATAGTTTTACTAAGAAATTCGAACAATTATGAAAGATTATTATTGAATTTATTTGATTAAATTAATTATTATAGAATTGAATATGATTTTATTTTTTTCTTATCTATTCAAAATAGAACTAAAATAAATACAATAATATCAAATAAAAATGTTTTATTTTTATTTTGACTTATATTTTTTTAAAGTATACTTGTCAATGTATCTCCGCTTATTAAATATAAACAAGTATTTGATATTTTTTTTTTTGTGTTTGAAATGTTAATGAATTGAATTGAAGACATTTATCCCAGTGAAAAATTTTCGCGATTTTCAATCGGATTTTTCTGCAACAAAATCAAAATTATAATCGATTGATAATTTTGATTATTTTTGATCACGACTGATCCATTATTTGACATTGTTGCTTATTTAGTGCGAAATTTTCTAATTGAAATCGGATTACTTTGCAGTATAATCGAAATTATTAATCGATTGGTAATCCTGGATTTGCTACAGAACTATCCGATTTTAATCAGATAATTCCACACTGAATAAGTAACAATATCAAGTAATAGTTAAGTCGTGATCAACAATAATCAAAATTATCAATCGATTATAATTTTGATTTTGTTGCAGAAAAATCCGATTGAAAATCGCGAAAATTTTTCACTGGGATATAGATAGTTAAATATAATTAATCAATTTTTATTCAAAATGAAGAATATTAATTATAAATGATGATGTTTCTTTCATTTACTATCATGCAGATATATTTAATTCTTGATGATATTTACTAGAATGAAAATGAATTCGTATCAATATTCAATGATTTCTATAATAATATATTAAACTTAAAGCAAATACAATTCATCGAATCTATTTTGATATTGAAGAATAATTTAGAAAATTGAATAAGTTGAGAAGAACAAACAACAACGGAATTAGTGACTAATCTAAAATTTTTTTAATCTATCCAAAGATTAACTATTTCAAAATAGAACATTTGAAATTCTTGATACAATATGTTGTATATATATATATAAGGAATTGTATATAGAAGAGTCTTGAAATTAGAAAAATAATAAAAATTTAAATTTTCATTAACAAGATTCAGTAGACTGTCCTGTGCTCATCGTTAAAATTGAAAAGGTTCTTATGATGTCGATTTTCAGTGCGAATAAATGCGAAATTTTCGAAGAATCATTAAGATATTTAAAATGATACAAAAAATATCGTTTTAAAGTACAAGTAAACTAAGTATAAAATACATTTGATCAATACTTCATATTTGTAGTTTTACATGAAAAATTATGAAATGTAGAAGTAGAAATTAGAGATGTCCATCGCGGCGCTGCCGCTGCCGCCGTGGCAGTGGCGGCGCGGCAGCGGCAGATTTTTTCCAAAAACTATCGCGGCGCGGGAGAGATTTTTATTTTACCGTCGCGGCGGCGGGCAGCTTTTTAGGAAAAAAATTCATGAATTTGCACAGAATCTGCATGTTTGTGTATGCTATACTGTAAGACTTAGCGAATCTGATCGATTAGCGGCATCAGTTCTATTTCAAACCAGTCAAAGCCTTGAAAATCAAAACATTTTTTCGAATACCAGCGTGGCAGCGGCGCGGTAGCGGCAAGTTTTTTTAAGGCGCGTCGCGGTAGCTTTTTTTAACAGACCATCGTGTCGCGGGAGCGGCGCGGCAGCTTTGTTTGATTTTGACCGCAGCGCGGCAGCGGCAGATTTTGAGCCGCGATGGATATCTCTGGTAGAAATAGATTCATCCAAGTTTCGATTCGAACAAATGACATTTTAACATTCTCAACATGTTTGATAATTCAGAATGGGTTTCAATGGTATTTTTAGTATGAATAAAATCGAGATAAATTGATTTTTTTTCTCATGAAACTTTCTATGGTCATTGAGAATGAACAGAAATTCAATGATGTACGAGATTTTTTACAATTATATTTAATATTAAAATAGTTTATTTGTTTTCTTGTTTTCTTTTTCTTTATAGACAGTGTTGACATTATAAAAAATAACATTTTTGTATTAGATTAAAGAAAAAGAATTTAAAAATCTCAATAGAAAAATTCTTAAATTTAGAATATGAATAGTTTTCCATCATCAAATAAACAAAAATAAGTGATTTAAACTAATTTCTTATTTATAAAATCAATTCTATTTGAATTTTGCATCTGATTGAATAGAAATTTGCAATTAAAAAAAATTCATAATGAATATCTTTATTTTATGATCATTGAAATAATATTTTATTTTATTCATATGTTTATTTTC